GATACATCTAAAAATGTAATTGTAAATGGGAAATCATCATCAAGTGGATGTGTTTCTTAAGGGGGTCCTGCAGGGATCTGTTCTTGGTCCTATATTGGAAGAAAACAAAAAATAATCACAGATAAAGTTTGCAGCTCACAGAAAAATTGGGGGGAGTGGTAAATAATGAAGAAGATAGGCCACTAATACACAGAGATTGTTAAACTGGGCACAAGAAAATAACGTGTTTTAATATGGCTAAATGTAAATGCCTACATCTAGGGACAAAGAATGTAGGCCATACTTACAGGATGGAGAACTCTATTCTGGGAAGCAGTGACTCTGAAAAAGATTTGGGGGAGAGGGTGAATAATCAGCTGAACATGAGCTCCCAGTGTGACACTGTGGCCAAAAGGACTAATGTGAGCATTGGCTGCATAAACAGGGGAATCTTGAGGAGGCAGAGAAGAAGAGAGGTTATTTTACCTCTCTATTTGGCACTGGTATGACCGTGCTGGAATACAGTCTCCAGTTCTGGTGTCAACAATTGAATAAGGATGTTGATAACTGGAGAGGTTCAGAGAAGAGTCATGAGAATGATTAAAGGATTTGAAAACCTGCCTTATAGTAATAGACTCGAGAAGCTCAATCTATTTAGCTTTACAAAGGAAAGGTAAAGGATGACTTGATTAGTCTGTAAGTATCTACATGAGGGAACAAATATTTGATAACAGGCTCTTCAAACTACCAGAGAACATGATCCAGTGCCTGGAAGTTGAAGCGACACTAATTCAGACTGGAAATAAGATGTACATTTTTAACAGTGGGGGTAGTTAACCATTGCAACAATTTACCAATATCATGGTGGATTCTCCATCACTGGCAATTTTTAAATCAAATGATTTAAAAAAAAAAAATCTCTTGGATTTTTTTTCAGGGAAGTTCTATAGTCTGTGTTTATACAAAGGGTCAGAATAGATGATCATAATAGTCCCATCTAGCCTTGGTATCTATGAACCTGGGAGTACATAGCATTGAAATTAGGAAGAGCTTATTTTGTATAGCCCTGATTCAGCATCAGGGAATAACCCCAGTCCAATGCCGTAAATAAATAGTTTGTAACTTTTGTAAGTGTAGAAACAGAGTAATGTCCAGTTCTAAAATAAGATGGTACTAGTAATAAATTATTAATCATACAATCAACAATAGGCTTCTAGACTGGTGACGTACTGCCTGCAAATATCTTTTTTTCCTGTTTAAGAAAATACTAAAAGAAGTGAAAAAGGCCTGTATAGGTTTCATCTATCTTCTCCTTAATGCTCATTTCTAGATTAAAGGTTGGAGTTATTTTATTGTATATTTTATAAGCTTTTATATAGCATTCATTGCCATAATATCTCTCAACCCATTAATGAGCTTAGCCTCATTTAAAAAAACCTATGAGATGAAATATTATTTTTCCATTTTTTTAACTGGTGGCACAGAGACACAGAGAGGTTTAGTGACTTGTGAAAAATTGCACATAAAGTGTGTAATAGAGCTGGAAATAGAATCCAGGTCTCCTGATTTCCCTCATCCAGTGCCCAAGCCACAATACTGTCCTTTCTTTTTCAAGTATTTCTTTTTTAACATCCATCTTGAACTTGTTAATAAGCATCTTCTGCTGTCCTCAGAGGTCTATAGTCTCAGCATTTCTGGAGAGGAAAGCTATTTGTATTTCTTTAGTTTGTGGGGAGTGTTTGGTTGGTTTGTTTGTGGCTACTGGAGGTGAGATCATAAACTGATCTGAAGCCTTTTATGGGCTCATAACTGACCCTGTGCCATTTGTGCACAGTTGGTTTTGCCGATTCATATGAGAAGCTCCTTGACTGGAAATGTCAAAGAAGCAGAAAATAAAATCAGCGCTTTAAATTAGACAGTTGATACATTCTCTCTGAATAGCACTCGAGATGAATGACTTCTGCTCTAGGGAATGATAAAAGTCCTGGCCAATCAGTTAGCACATAGGCAACATTAAAATGCCTTTCATGTAAAGCAGTTTGCAATGGGAGAACTACACAATGAACAGATTGCTCTTTCTTCTGCCTATGTCCTGAATTCAGTTAGTAATTAGCGCACAGTTTTTCCATAAGGCAGGGGAACTGGTGTCTCTTTTGTAAGACACTTGATGATGGATGGCCTGAGGCTAGGGCCAGGTCTAGACCAGAAACACTTTGCTCCTATTACAAGTATCAGCAAAGCATTCCTAGTGTGAATGCCATTTGCCAGTATAGCTTATTCCCTCCTTCTCCCCCCAGCCCCTAAGTGCAGGGGCTTCTGCCAGCATAGTTATCTTGGCCAGGGATCACACCCCTGACTGACATTGTTATGCTGGTAAAAGTTTGCAGTGTAGACCTGGCTTCTATCTGCATGATCAGCTGTGCCCTTTCAGAAGACGGAAGCTGTGGCATCACAACAGGGGTGTAGACAGAATGGGTGTTAATTGAGGTCTGTTATTTCCTTTCTCTAGCAGGACATTTTTTTTTTGTAATGTTCATTAATATCCAACATGTACTCCCACATATAGTCAATTGCCGGATTAGAGCCAGAAGGCTCCATTATGCTATGTAGACACATCCCCAAGTTATCTCTGGGGAAGGTCGGGTGAGAGGGGGGTAGAATTCCACCGGACTCTGGAATATTCTAATATGGGTCTCCCTCGGTCTCTCCTGTTGAAGCTGTTCCATTCTATGTACATAATTATGTATTGGGCCAGAGAGCCAGTGAGAGTGATTCTGTAGTCTAGTGGTTAGGGCATTCATCTGAGAGTGAAGGAACCCATCTTAAAATCCTTTTTCCCCATCAGGTAGAGCAGAGAATTGAGTGGGTGTTTCCAGCGTGCTGGGTGAGTTCCCTAATCACTGCCATACAGGTTGTAAGGGGAGAATCCACCTCCCTTTTGTGTGGAGTTAGGTGTGCTCTGATAACACCTGCCACAGCAGACCCAGCAAGGGAACGGCTTGAGGCTGGTGCAGGAGCTTGAGCATGAGATGACACTGAGGCATTGTGTGCATGCCCAGTAGCAGAAACGTAAGCGCCTGGAGGACTTTTATTGTGACAATGTAGGCACCTCCAAAGTTAGGTGGCAGCTGAGCATGGGGTTTTGAGGATCTCAGTTGTGCCTACGTTTTTTAATTTAGGCACCAAAGTGCTTTTGTGGATCTGAGCCTCAGTGTCTAGAACTCAATATTCAGAACTGCTGGGATTTGAACTCTTTATTGCTTGATTCCCCATTGTGTTCAGTGCAACAGACCACACCACGCCCACCCAAAATTGATCTACATGCTGTAAACATCCATGAACACATAGGAACTTCATGTATGCCATGATGATTCACAGAATGGTCACCATGTGGTTAAGGGAGACAGCAAGGATAGAGTTCAGTTCCTTCTGTTCCAAAAGCACAGGTCCCTCCCCAGAGGCTGCTCAAGATAATCTGCTACCCTAGGCAAAACTACAGTGTGCCACCCGCTCCTATCTGCTAGAACAGAGGTTCTCAACTCAGATGGGGGTGCATATCAGACTTTCTGGGGGTGGGGGAGTGCACGGGGAGCCTTCTGATAGTTTGGTGGTCATGACAGAGGGGTGGCCAGGCCAAATTTGTGTGAGTGCATTGTGCCCTTGCCACCCTAGACAGAATCTGCTTCCCTAGGCAGCTGCCTAGTTTGCCTATAGGTAGAACAGCCCCTATCCCTCCCAAAAGAATCTGTCAGCAGCATAGGTGCTATGAGACACAGCTGAACAGTTCCGAGTGTGTTCAGTACAGACCGGTGGTTCACCCTGTTCATCATAACATGAAGACCAATTGTTTACGTAAAAAAATAACAGCATTTGTACTGGGAAAATAAAGGAGTAGAGCGGTGGGGGAATGCTCTCCTTTTTACGTTTCCATCTATCCCAACCACTGTGCCACTTCCATTTGAGAAGCTTTCACAGAAATGCCAGGACCAGGGCGAGCTCAACATCTTCACCTGTATGTAGGGCTCCTGAAAGAATTAGCAATGTCATTTCAATGCCAGCGTTGTCATGTCAGTGTTAAGTCGTGACATTTCCCTAGGTCATACCAGGCTCTAAAATAAATGCATTATAACGTTAAACAAAATCCTAACCATGTGTATTGCAGCTAGATCAGAATTAAAGGCTACCATTGTATTAGCCAGATGTTCCCTCTACAGCATTCTTTTTTAGTTCCTTTTCATTAGGTGTATTTTGCATGGGGTATGAATTTTCCTCTCAAGTAAGAGCTCTGTTAAAAATTGCCAATAACAGGAATGTGGTTTCAATGCAAGTCATGAAATCATATCAGCTTTAAAAAGGAAATTAAAAGTAAACCCCATCCCCAGTGAAATGATGACCACTGGTAGCTGCTGCTCCCATTGAAGTAAATTGTAAACTATCCATTGACTTCAATGGGAGCATACCCCATGGTATTAAAAGTCAGAAAATGATTGGGAATTTCTGAGCAGTTTTTGACAATGCTTCGATCATAGTTACAGAAAAAAAATAAGAACTAATTTCTGATAGTGTGTCCTTTAAATAATAGGTCCTGAAAAATTCTTTTTAAAACATTTTCTCCTTCCTTCTTTGTTCATAGGGGTTTTTTTCAGTAACAAAGTCCATGATCCTGTACATATGTAAACACTTGCATAACTTTATTTATATGAGTGGTTCCATTTTAACTGACTATACAGATGAAACCGTGAAACTGGCTATAAACAAAGTACTGTCAAAAATAAACAAACTGAAAAAAGAGGTTCCCCCCCACAAATTACTTCCCATTTTAGTAAGCATAGGTGTTACTTTTAACTATGCAGTAAGTACAGCATTATCTTACAGAAATGGGATAGTGTCCCTTTTATATTTTATCATACTTTTTTAGATTGAAAACTATCAGAATTTTAACTTTTGCTGTCTGTATTTGTAAGCTGCATTCTCTATTCAGAACTGCTTTAAAAACATATTTTGAAGTCCATGTTCTTCAATGGGAGCATGATCACATGTTTTTGCTATTCAGTGAAATACGATCAGTGATCTTTTCTTGCACTCATTGTATATACTCTCGAACTGCAAGTTCTTTTAGGGTAAACATTTTTATTTGGTCTCTTTTTGCCTTGCTCTCTTCCAGTTTCTCTTGCAAGGATAGAAAGTCTTTGCCAAGTTCATATGCCAAAGTGATCATTGTCTCTAACAATGGAACATAATACCTGTGCCCACCATGCATCTGTAGGCGAAGTAAAGCCTTTTCTCCATATTCATAGGCACTTGCTGGGTTCTCCAGGTCTTTGTGACACACAACTACAGCACAGAGTGTAGGGACTATTAAAACAGGGCTGTGTTTGGTTAATTTTTCCTGCAGAGCGACGACTTGCACAAGTATTTCCAAAGCTTTGGTATACTGGCCTCCCCTCAGACAGCCATAAGCTTCCTCCATCTCTGGTCTTATTAAGAAGTCGATAAATTTTTTTGATCTCCGGACACATTTCATAGAATACAGAAATCCCAGATAGTCCCTGAAGGCTAATTTTCTCTCATTGATCATTTCCTCTGTGAAGTTTCCAGTTAGGTACTTTTTGGGAAAGGTCACATCTTCTATTTCTTCATTAAAGTCCTTCAAAAGATTTTTGTGCAGTTTTTCAAAATCTGAATATCGACGCTCAATTACAGTTTTGTTGCCATCAAAACTGCCTGTCTGGATGATGATGATTTTATACAACTGGCAGGAAAAAAAAAAAAGCAAGTAGCAAGAAATATTCAGTCTTGTTACATAAAACTGTAGTCTTGCTGAATGTTAACAAACATATTTTAAACTTTACTTTGGTTTTGTCTGCACTAGGATTTTGCCCTGATAGGACTGACACTGGGGCAGGTGTAAACGTAGACAAGGAAAGCCACAATTTGCACCAATGGAGTTTGTCCCTGCTTGAAAAAGCCTCCCCCTCATGCAAATTGCACCAATTTACATCTAATTGTGCTGATCTGCATTCTAGATGACCGTGTGCAGCACTGGTTCTGCTACATCAGTGACCGGCCATCAGTTGCTAGAATTAGAGTATATTCCCAATATAAACAAGGTCTTTGAGATAGGTGTCCATTGAGTCAGTAATTACTAACCACTACTGTTTCAGATTGTTGTGACTAATACTTAGTGTTTGCATGTAGTGCTTGCATATAGGCACCTTAGGGGCTTGATTTCAATAAGAAGGCACTCAGCACCTGGGTCCTTAATCTGGTAAATTAGCAAATTGCTTGTAAAAGTTTAGAAGGAGTGCTTTAAATAATTTATGGTTCATTCATGTAACTGTACTCCTTAATAACACATATGGTTACTACAAACAATCATCCATAGCAAACTGAATGGATTTCCCAGGACTAATATTGAATTTAATATATTTTTCATTGGTTATAACTGTTAGAAATATTTCTATCAGATATTTCTGGGGATTTCTGGGCATTATTAATGCTATGGAGGAGGAGGAGAGAGCTGGAGGGGACATTTGGTATATGCAAAAATGAGATGGAGGAACTTCAGAGAGATTTTTTTCTAAATCATTGTCCTATTATGCAAAACCTACCACTTTATATAAATACTGAAAAAGTGAATGCCACATTTCTAAAACAAACTGTTTGCTATCCAAGATCCTTCAGCAACCTCTAGCAGAAACACTTTTTATACAATAATTCACAATTTAACAGTACTCAAGAATAAATTTCTCTGAATTTTGCACTGACCTTGATAGCAAAATGAATTTAGTAAACATGACATTAAAAAAAAAAAAAAAAAAA